TTGGCGTACTTTGTCTTCGCTTGATATGGGTGAACGCGAATATTTGTCGTTTGTTTTACTTTAAAAAAATAGTCAGTGTTAGTGCATAGTCTACTTCTCTGACGAGTTCGAACACCATAATCATGTCTCATTTGTATAACCTATAGGAGAGTAAAAAAAGCTTAAGCCTTTATGAGTCGTTCCTCAATAAGTAGGCTCTTCAGCCCAATGCCTGGTTTAGTCGCACTTCGTTGCATGTTCTCCAAGAAAATGTATTTTTACTTCATCCAGAGCCGCCAGGCCTAATTGCCATATTCTAAAATCGGTAAGATGTATGTTCCAAACAATTGACTGAAATGCACTTCGTAAAATTTCAGAAACGATCTCCTGTTCGCTCTGAGGATGCCGATATCCTTCTTAGCTATGTTAGTGCAGTAGGAGGAGGGCAAGGGTGTGGACTTCATCCATACACCAAGGTCACTTACCTCATTTACGAGCTCCAACTCGTGACTGGCGGGGAACTGCTGATAGTCGGATACCAAATACTTTCTGTAACTAGACTTAAGTCCGATGAATTGCAATCTGTTGAAATTCAGGTTAAGAAGTCATTCGTTACACCACTGCTGCGTTTGATTTATGTTTTTTGCAACTTGAGCGTGTCCTCTGGCTTTTTAGTCGAACTCCAGATGTCCATATTATCAGCGAACATTACCTCCTCCCCATAGCTACGAATTTCGCGGCTCTTGATGTCATCTCATTTTAACCTTAAGCGGTCTGTTGACGCATGCATGCCAGTCCTGTCTAACCCACACGCTTACCCCTCATGACCGACAGTTATTGCTACCTTTACGATGTTCGTACGTAATCCGTCATGAACTGATACTGCCCACCTATTTATTCTCTCATGAGCGAGAGTTGTTTTCTCCTGTAAAGTTTAAACAATAATTTTTTTTATTCTAAAGGAGTTTTTTTCACTATTCCCTCATCATTTGTCCCAACAGATTTCTAATTCAGAAACTGCGAAATGCACATTTGTTATAAATGCTGCCACCTCGCATAAAATTCATATGCAAATACGTATTTTCTTGCTTTTAAAGGATCTTTATGTGTCTGTAATAAAATTATTTTATTTTATGCGCGGCAAATCTTGTCTCACTGGCCTGCCCGTATCACTAGAAAGTTTAATAAAATCACTAGAGATAAGCTTGTCAGCAGATGCGGCCTACACTGAATTGCACACAGCCTTTGACGGGGGTACCACACAGACGGCTCGTATCTAAATTGCGCCATATGAGTGTGATGGATACCTACTAAAGCGGTTGACCGACATCCCCACAAGCCGTCGTCAGCGTGTCCGCACATCCGACGCCAAATCGGAGTGAGAAACCGTTCACAACCGGGTTCTGCAGGAAAGCGTCCTGGGTCCCAATGTAATCTACATATATATGGACGACTGCCTAGATTGTCAGACCTTCAAATAGATAATGCCCGCTAATGATTTGAAGATATGGAATCCGATAAAAAACTAGAGGACGCCATTTCATCTTAAGAGGGTCCACATTAGACGGCCCAAAGACTGGTTCGTAAAGATCTAGTGTATATCAGAAACGTTCGGCCGACCGATTTGCCAACGGATTAGACGTAATGAAGATGTAATCCTGGCTTAAACGCAAACAATGTTGGAATAAAATGTCAAAATACAGATATTTTTCGTATAGTTTTATTTCATACCATACGACTTCTTACCACTGACTGCTTCATCATGCTCAGAGTTATTGAAGACATTCTTTGTAGTGAGCATCTAACAGACCCCTTTTCAAAAACGAGTAAAAGTCAGTAGAAGGTACTTTAATTAATGCTAATAAAACGTTGTCTATGCCTTCATCAGTGCGTGCAGTAGCATTTGTAAGGGATGGGACACATTGAAGGGAGGACATTCGAATCTTATTGGGTGCGTTGATTTCCATTCCCCAATAAGTGATATCGAGAGTCGCGTCCAATATCAATTCGGGTAGATCGAACAGAAATTATCCCACTGTACGTCACAAGGTATTAAACATATGCGACAGCAGTTCCTAACATAAAAGCAAATCGATTATAATAGTGTGTTTGTTGTAACAAATACAACTAAGAGAAAATATAACATGAAATCCCTCCTCGATTGTTATCTTACCTGCTTTTCAATATGCAATTTGGCTTCAGGAAATGGTGATCGGAATTTGTACTGTAGGCATTTGGCGGACGCTACGTCTCGTAGGAATGTGCATGTGAAATGTAGGGATGTCCGGTCAATGAGCACTTTCAGTTTAAAACGCCTATTGCCTAGTAAGAAAACGTTTCTCTCAAAGCCTGCACGATAAGCCTGGTATGTCAAATACCCGGCGACGTCATCGAGGATATTATCGTATCCATTTCTCCGACATTTGGTTATTTCTTGGTACAGAAATGTTTGCGGAATTATTGAAAAGATAAATAAAGAATGCTTTCGTTCAGTGATTGTGGTTTTTACTGAAAAACTATTTATTAAGACAGTTTATAATGGTCATATGGTATCTTTATAGAAATGTGCAGATTTACATCATAATCGAAGTATTTTCTGCCACCTCTTTAATGGATTGGTATATTATGTCAATTTGAAATGCCAATTACTGTTTATGAAGAAACAGCATTCTGCGCAATGAAGCAAAATGGGGAACACAATCAGACGATTCATTCCTTTTGTCACAACAACGAGATTTTTCAATTAATATACTAATGTAGCCTACGTAACCAACCAAACGAACATTTAATCTGTCGCAGGATCATTGGTTACGCGTGTTGACAGGAGCATAGACAGGCGCGCCAGATGTAACAAATCGGCTCATAGAAATCAGCTCCGCTGTACCCTAAACTGCATCAAACGATGATTGCATATACCAAATGCAGCTTGCAGGGTTACTAGCAGTTAGACAAATGACCATAGTAGGTGGTCGAACTCATGAAATGTCAACTGAAATTCCGAAATGCGTGTTCATTTCGAAAAGGTTACTTAGGTAGGCTTGTAAAACTAATCAATATGCAAAATAATCCTACAATAATTCGGTTAACTTCGGATGTCATCTTTCAAACGAACTTCCTTCCGGCTGCATGCAAAGACTGTCCTCTGCAAAAAGTGACTACATCCGTAGCATGCACCTTTCTCATTGATGTTCGATGCCCCTAACATTCCAGTTATATTTCATGGAAAACAGGCAACCAAATATTCATTCTTCGCTTATTCGGTAGAAAATTACGTCTTCTTTCATTTTATGCAAGAATTAGGGGCATTATTCAGTTTTTTAAAATCCTTCAAAGGCCAGAGTAATTTTGAACTCACACTTCCGTTACACTTGTATTCAGGGTTTCAAAACGACAGGTCATGTATTTTACGCTCATGCAAAATCACATATTTTTCTGCAGGAATAAAGGGCGACTATATAGGGTTCATGAAATTTCGCATTGGATTTGATCCATATTGTTTACTTTACAAACCACCTTGGTAAATGCACAGACGTGACGTTTCATCAGCGACCATTTCGCGGTAATAAAACACAGTTTTATTCCTTCTTTGAGTATAAAACTGAAAGAAAATGTAATGTTCTACCGAAAACGTAAAAGAAGGGATATTTTTATGCATATCTTCATGCATGCATGATTATTTGGGACAACACAAGTCAATGAGAAAAATGTATGCTGATTAATAGTCACTTTTTACTGAGTATCGTTTTTGTATGCAGGCGGAACGAACTTAATTCGTAAGCCGGCATCCTGTGGTACCTGATTTATTATAGAATTATATTGCAGAACAAGTTGTTTTGCAAACGTACTCAATAATTGTATTCGAAACGAAAACCAATTACGGAAGTTTGGTGGACATTTAATGAGTAATCTAACCTACTTAAAGTTTATAGTGTTTTCGCGATTTTGATGAGAACATACAGTGACAGGCAAAATGCAACTTACCGAAATAATTGATATAAAGCCAGTTACATCAGCATGTTCTTTGCTAAGATTTGATAGTCAATCAGTCCTTCGAGAAAGGTTTCACGACAGATAAAATCTTTAGCTGTGAAAAGCGATGCTTTACGACCCAAGTTGGGACTCGGATCGTGAACAACATTTAATGACACCTCAAAAACTCCGTATAAGAAAATAAACCGTGCATGTATGTTCATTCCCCTCAAAGAGTTTCATAACGTTTGCCTTATGGGCCTTTCACCGAAAACAACTCGCCGGTTTAGGCATAAAGACAGGCATTTAAAAGTACACTCCAACAACCGCGCAACGCTTTAAGCGACAACGTATATCCCGAATCGTTTGTCCTCCGAAATGTTTGGGAACCCACACCAAAGTTGGCAGTTGTGACTGCAGATAAGGAAGATGTACTCATGAGACTGCGTTTTACAGGGCAAACTAGTCAGACGGAGCTTGAATAGGGCTATTACGAGGGCATTCCCAACGCCGACTTTACGCGTATGCTTCAAAAAACCTCACGCCCTATGTTTGAGAGGTAAGGGCAGACTAACCTTAGAGGCCACATCAGTGTGCGTTTACTCATTCGCTTGTTCCTGCGCAACTGGATACATGGGCCATAAAACAAGACGCTTGGTAAAGAGGATGCGAGAAAAAATGCACAAATGACTAGACAGAGGTGAGACCCGATCAATTTCGAGTTCTATTGTCGTCCATTCTATCGATACGGCTCACACAGTTGATGCCAAGGAAGCATTTCAGGTTGTCTATCGGACTCCAAATATAGTGTCCAGCGGGTAAAAACGTACTTTAGTGAACCAGGTAGACGACTACGAAATCTTCGGCATCTTTGGGACAAACTGACAAGGAATAGATACCCGAGCAGCTTCGTCAGCTTCTTCCTCCGCGCGCGCCCAAGCGAACAAACGGAGGGAAATCACCAATAATCGGACACCCTCTACCATATATAAAGAACGTGTCCAAGCGATGGAGACATCAGCGTGGGTATCGTTCACCGTCCGACAGTGACCATGCGCAACAAAATCATGCAAGTGAAGGATCACCTGGACGTGGAAGAACAATCGGATGTCGCCTATCAGATCCTATGTCGGGACTGCCCTCGCCAGGACAGACCAGACGACGACTCACGCAAACGGGCGGTCCAGAGAGACGACACGCTGTCTCATGTCGCCACTCACACCCTGGAGGAAGGCCACGAATTCAATTTCGCGAGCACGCGAATGGTAGCGCAGGCCAGCAACAAGACAGGTCGAAAACTGTTAGAGGCCTGGGTGTGTGAGTCCAAGTCTATCAACAGGCACGTTGACATTCCCCTCTGCTATCGCGCGCTCCGTTCCCGCGGCCAAGAGGCGAGACACAAATTCCAGCCCGGGGTGCACGCAGTCACGCCACCATGAGACAGCGTGTGACTTAACTCACCACATTCTGATTTCATATCTCCCCCCTCCAGCGTGGATTGACTATAAAAAAACTGCAGTCACATGCTCTCTGACGATGGCCTCCTGTGCGGGGCCGAAAGCTCAGACTAATACACCTACTGTCCCAGCGATCGTGTGTCAATCTTCGTTACTTATAATAATGATATGCTTTGCACATATAAGATATCATTTTTCTCCTGGTGTTTATGATATTATTCAACTGGAATATCGGCAAATCGAAAATGCGCTAAATTGGTTTTCGGTCTATCTCCATCTTTATGCTAGTCTTTATAATTAATTACGATGAAAACCACTAAAGCTCAAGCTGCTTTGTAGTTATATAGTCTCGAAAATATCTTTGCCTTGGAATTCAGTCAAGAATTCGAGGCGGCAGAAAAAATAATAACTTTTTGGTCCGGAACTTGGTGCTGGTTAGGTGCATAAAAGTTGTGCGACATTCTGTACATTGTAAAAATGTGTACTTTCGCCAAGCATTTCACGATCATCGTTCATACGTGGATGTCATGATCATTTAATTTTTGAGGCACAGGTGTCTTCGAAAAATTGCGAAAGATTAAAGCCAATGGACATTTTCAGTGTTTGAAAAGAAGAAATGTCCTCCTCACCGAATTTGCTTATTTTTGTTGACGGTAGTTTTTTAGGTCTACAGCAAGTACAAATCTTGGACGCATTTTTAGTTTAGGAATTTTCGATCACTTCGTAACATGTATTTCAGACACTTAACAAATCCACCGTTCTGTGGTTGTTAATGCATGAATTATCGATGGTCATGCATAAGTAAAAATGCCTAGATTCCTAGAAGACGAAGACGACGATATAATTGTGTTTGTGGACTTCATTATAATAATATCTCGACTCACTTTCGTTAAAATGTCAGGAAAATAATGTTCATAATTCGACATTATGATCGCATATAAAATTAGCATTTTCAGTGATTTAGAGATGCTCTCCTCACGAAGGCAGGCTTCAGGGTCTTAATTTTCTTAGTGGATTTAGCCAGTATCAATTTCACTCAGGTCGTATGTTCAGTGCACGACATTTGTTCTTTTCCTCAGAACCATGTAACATGGATTATTATTTTTCTTAAAATGCTAACCCCCTGGTATGACGCTTATGGACCTTCTTGTTTTGGTGTTAGGAAAAATGTTTAATGTGTATATTCTTTGTTTTTTACCGTATAGAGACAATGCCATTTTACGTAAACGACATCGACCCTCTCTCTTTGTGCTGAGCAACGTTGTGAAATGGCCAAATATTCTACGAATAATTTAAGCAAGCAGAAAGTATCCAATAAATATCAGGGTAAGAATAGCAGTGGGTTTACTGTGAAAAAAAGCTGTCACGCAGGACAGAACGATGCAGCGGACGGGAAACTTGATTGCTTAAACCAAAAACCTGCTTTGTAGGATGCATTTCGACGTTTCGTATATTGCTGTTGATCCAATCTCTATTTTGGAGAGATAAATATCGATATCATCAAACTCGGGGAATATATTGTGAGGCAGGGAAAGAGGACATGTATAAAAGCCTGGGGTTTTGTTTAACCTTCGTCAACCGTCTAGATGTAGGCAACGAGAATGAACTTAATTATATGTTTCTTTGCTTAATAAGGCCTTTTTAAATTCATTGCAAATATAGTTTTTAGCATTTATCACGCAAAATTTCATTCATGCGGAATTAAATCTCCTGACTGTCTTCAGTATTACTGTGCGTTTTTATAAGTACAAAAACGGCGCAAAATAATTTATTTATGTTAGCGTTTAAAAGTTTGATCTAATTCGAGTTTATTAGATGCCATCTGACCATGGGCAAGACATGTGTTGCGATGGCAGCTTCGGCCTCAATCGTACAGGATCTCCACGAAAGTGTAATTCTAATGGGCGCGCAATTAAACGATAGATATTATTTTCCAAAGGCAATGGAGCGAGCATATGTACGACAACAACCGAAAGCCATTCGACCGATTGTGCACGCGTCTTCCATGCGTCTCCCAAACACTCACTGGGGTATAGTAAATGAAGGGCGTGTCTGTTAGTCCGTCCGAAGGCGTACGTAGAATTTGCTTCTCCATTCCGCATAGGGAAATAAACCGACAGATGAAAAGCCATGTTTCCTTTAATAAAAATTAAGTCTAAGCACAGCGGCAGTTCAGATCGAGTGATAACTGTGGCACAGCGATTGCCGGCGATTCTGAGCCGGGCTGACTGTTCACGAGCATAGACGTGCTTTGAGACAAATGTAGAAGTTTCACGTCTGGTTACCTCATCACTTCTGAAAGCAAACCCAAAGATTCACGGAGGGTTCAGAAACCCCAATATTCGGCGATTAGACAATATATTGCGTGAACAATTGATGATCCTTAACACTTTCTTCTTAAAGCTAACCGTCTTACAGAAACAGTACGGCATACAGTAGCAAGTTTTGATAAACGGACAGGAGAATTATTAAAAGCATTTCGTTCAACACCTTCCAGGCGCTGTAAATTTGAGAGCGGGATGGTGTTTTACATAAGACAGTGTACCGATATTCTCTACCAACCATACAAACAATAACTGATCAAAGACTGCAGTTTTGCAGCGGTCGCATCAATGTGAAAATCTCATATGCTATGCAATGCAGGCGCTTCACTAGGGGACTGCAAATTGACAATTTGAAAGCCAGTTTTTAATCGTCTGCGCTCAAAAACGCCCCAGAATTCTGAAATATTTGAAATAATGCATTACTAAGACGACGTCCAACGCAATACATATCTCAAGTCCTCTATAGCCAAGACACAAAACCGGTGAAAATGTTGCGCCCCAAATCTACAAATCCAGGGAGGTTTAGGGCTGGCTGCGAGTTCCGTATGGAATTGCTTTAGGTTACGGCTTAAAACTAATATTATCAGGCACATGACAGCAGTTTTTATAACGCCACAATGTGACACAGAGACAAAGACAGCTAACACCTGAGGCGACAGAACAGAATCTTTTCCACCGACATTATGGATCGGACCGAAATTTCAGAATACATGTCAAGCTAGGGTCATTAAAACTAAAACAGAGAAATCACAACATGTCTGTAAGTTGCGTATGGTTGCATCGAGAGGTTAACGTGATGATATATGGAACATTTGTGATATATTTATGCCAAAATAAATCTGAAAAACACGACAAAAATTCCTCCGATGTCCTCTGAGCGAGTGTGGTTAGATCCTCAAAGAATTAGTCGATCTAACGTGAGGATATCAGCCTGCATCGAAATTAAGAACAGTTATGGTCTAGGTCCCCTTAACAAATGGATATGACACTAAATAAAACCTGCGCTGTCTGTAAATTACATTCTCGATCCCTTAATCAACGGCTTGAGATTGTTTACTTGTTTGGCGTGACAAGAGTTCGTGTTAAATGACGACGACGGTCCAAAGTAATATCGTAGGAGTCTACACCGACCTTTCAGGCAAGCCAACCTACACCCATATCAACTCAGGAAGTAACTCACTTTTGGCATCTGTAAAAACCCTGCTACCATTCATTTGAGAAAACCTGTCCCATATTTTTTCGATAGTCACTTTGTGAGCGCAGTATGAATTTTAAGAGATTACTCCATCTGCCGCAAAAGCGCACTAGCCTTCACGGTTTATCTGACAGACAGCCCAGAGTAACTCCGTCTGGCCTCCTTGTCATCGGGATATCTGTCAAACTTAATGCTACCTTTGACAGTTAATCTGTTTTTTTCTGTAATTAACATGCTTACTAGTTTAGATCGTTTCTGGCGATAAAAGGTAATTGGATCACAGAAAAAAGAAATGCGCGTCGACATACGGCATGCGTTATATGCTTAAAATCCAGATCCCCACAGACTCAGAAGGAAAGCACCTGCAACAGACACATTCCATGAAGAAGGAGGCACGATTGTTGGGACAAGAGTTCTATTCGCCTGACGTTTTTCTATTCGATATTGGACACCTCATCAGGGACAACAGTCGCTACGCGTGGTTTATGCACAATGACATTACACAGTCATTACACCATGTAAGACGATCCCTGATGAAAGCCGAAAAGCACGAATAGTCAAAGGCATCCAGTGAAATGACAATCGCATCCTTTAAATATTCCCGTCCATTGTGCTTGAACAACCCGTATCAGCTATTGTCTATGAAGATGTGTCCAAGGAGGAATAGGAAATGTCAGGTTAAACAAGTTTTTGTCCCAGTAATCGTACTTTCTGCTTCATCAAATGTGTCCGTTACAGCCGGCCTCCTTCAGAAACTATGGGATTTGGAAGTAATGCATGCAACACAGGCCATATTTCGAAGTTCATTTACTTTTTCGATGATTACCTTGCTTTTTATCACCAGAAACAATCTAAAGCTTAATGACACAAAGACAGATTACTGTCTAAGGCAAAATTCAGTCTGGCCAACAATTCGATCACATGCAGGACAGACGGCGAAAGTCTGGGTTATCTGTCAGAAGAAACATAGAAACAAGTGCCCTTTTGTGGCAGATGGGTTAGGCCTTTGACAATCTTACTGCACTCACTTAGAGGCCATCGGAAAAATATGGGACACGTTTGCTCAAATGAATAGTAGCAGGGTTTTTACAGATGTAAAAGTGAGTGGCATTCTGAACTAACGTGAATGTTGGTTGGCTTGTCTGACAAGCAGGGTAGACTTCTACGGTACTGCTTTGAACCGCCATCGCCATTGAACACGAATTCTTGCCACGCAAACAACTAAGCAAACTTAAGCTCCTGTGAAGGTGATTGAGAATGCGATTCAGAGACAGCGCAGGTTTTATTAAGTGTCAGATCGATTTAGTGCATCTAGACCACAACCGCCCTCAAATCCTAACTGGGCTGATATCCTCTCGCCGCGTCTACTTAGCCTTGGTTCTTCTAACTGCACTCGCACGGAGGACATCGGATGAATTTGGGACGTATTTGGTTAAATTAATTTTGGCAGATTTGTTTTAAAA